GACTGTTAGTCTGGCAAACTCGGTAACCAATCTGCACTTGAATATCCCACAAACAAACGAGCAAATTAAAAAGGATCAAATGGGGGGAAACAAACAAAAAGATGCCAAACTGCTGGGGCTTGGCTCCAAAGTGATCTTTGGTCTGATTTGATAAAACTTCACAATACCTCAAAACATGGGCACTGTTGCAGTTTATTGTTTGGATGACTGTTTGGAGCTTCAAGAATCAATAACAATTTAAATGCCTTCTTCAGGACTGCTTAATTCTACGCTCATCAGCTCAGCTGGCTCTGGCCTCCTGTTTGTCCCTTGTCCCCTCGGCTCCACCATCGGTGGCCATGCCTTCAGCCACTACGTCCCGAAACTCTGGAACACTCTCCCTCAATCTTCCACTTCCCTCTCCCCCTGGCTTGGGGTCAGACTCCGTTACTGTCAAGCACTCCGGGACGCTACCCTGCGTGGTGGGCGCTTTATAAATGTACGTTGTTGTTGTTGTTGTTTATTTATGATCTCAGTGACTGATTACTTTGATGTAAAAGACTGCAACTGGAGCTGATCCAAGGATGCTCTGTCTCAGAGTGCAGAACCAGAGTGTCTTTGAAATCACTTGGTGCTGAGATTACAATAGAAGCCTCTTCCCCACCGATACTGTATAATGGAATATCCTCATGTTCAGTAATCAATGAATAATGACTTAGCTTTCAATATCTGTGTGTAAGATTGTACAGGGCAGGGAAAAGGCCGAGGGAGAATTGCAGCTGTGCTGAAGAAAGGCATTTGAACTGTTATTGGTTCTTGTACTTCCAGAGACAATTGTCCAGACTATGGACATTCAGCAGCACTTTTCTAATTCCGGTAGGATAACCCCCCACCCCCTTAAACGTCTCCCCGCCTCTTCCATATCGCCCCTCCCTCAAAACCCTGTACACGACAACCCTATCTCCTCCATACTTTCTCTGCTGATGACTGGGAGGCCAAGCAAATACAGGAAGAGACAGGGGAGGGATGTTATTCCAGACTTGGTTTGTTGTTTGTATGAGTTATGTAAAGGATTTGACATATTTAGCTTCCTTGAGGCACAATTATAAAGTGTTTTCCAACACATAAGAGAATGCAACAGAAGAATATTTCAGCTTTCTTCATGTGTGGGTACACTGAAGTAGCAGCCAATGTATTCAGTGATTCTGCCTCACTGCTTTTTAATCTGGAAAATGCCTTCAATACCTAAAGCTGTAATGAGGTGCTACCATGTGAAACCGCTATGATTTGTTCTGAATGCGATCCGGTGTCAATTAATACCCCTCGCCATCATTACTTTGCCTACCAAGGTATGGCTTTTACCAGGCAATGCTTCACAACAGCAGCAAGGTGCGTTGGCTTGTGATCATAATATTACTAATCCTTGCATTCGATATAGCGCCTTATCACATCTTCGAGACGTCTCAAAGAGCTTCACAGAATCTACCGTAAAGTGAATTGACTGTATATTTTGTGAGCGAAACGCAGTAGCCAAATACACACAGCAGTGTCCCGCTAAACAGTCGTGGATATAGTGACCCAAATTTTTTTTTATTATTTTGTGGGGGAGGGAGAGATTATTACCCCCAGAAAAGTGATTCAACAATCGACTAACGACCGAGTTTCAACTTACTGTTAGGTAAACAGACGAGTGTGTGTGGAGTATAAGGAAGCATGCCCAATGTTTCGCACTGCCCAGGAATAAAAACTCAGGTCGTCTCGCTTGCAAGATGAATGCTCTAACCACTGAGCTACAGGACTCCATTGATTATTTAAAGAAATATTGGTCTTAAAGGTCCAAAGTAAAATGAGTCCAGGTTTAAGGTTCAACCCAGTTTCTGGTGCCTGTGGTCTCACAGAGTAAAACACTATTGGTTTGGTACTAACGTTATCAATCTCCCGAAAGAAATCGTTAGGACGTTTGATGTCAATGTCACAGAGGTGTGTGCGTTACGTGGCACTTCTCTGAGGTCAGGATATGGCTCATTCCAGGGGCAGAGTTGAAAGAGCTTTAATCTACAGTTAATGTATTGTGGCCAATCTGGGAATGAACAAGGCAGTTACCGAATGCTCAAGTGGATAAAGTTCGATTTTTTAACACCCTCCCCACTCTTCCTTGATGAGAACCATATTGAACAAAAGCAGGTTTGAAAAAAAAATGAAAATGACTAATTCTTTCTTTTAAAGGAACTAGAGAGAAAAAAAACTATGGATAAATGGAATCATATTTAAATGACATGTTCTGCACTTAATTTTGCAGAATAGGCATCCAGAAATTTCAATGTGATGTGGAATCAGTCACGTACAGCCACAGGGTTTGTCGATAAGCTGTTGGGTTTCAGAGGATGGAACTTTGTTTCGTCTGCTGGGTGTCGATCATATGTGGAAACCCATCACCATGTTTAAGAGAATCCAACGTAGACAGTCAGAGTTCCACATATGCATGCCACCAACACAAAGATATTTCCCTCTCCCTGGAATGGACTGCCTGTTCTCTCCCCAGAGCCTGTACTCTGCTTTCATAATTTCCAAACTTATTAGGAGCAGTTATTAGTTTAAGTTATTAGTTTGCCAAGAGTCAAGGCGAGGCTTAGGTACTCCTAGAGTTTAACCAGCTTTACCACCGCACAGTTTGCCACTGTCACTGTTTGGCAGGTTTCCCACTGTTTGGCTAGAACCATCCTACCCATCAGCGTTCCACCTTAATAATAATAATAATAATCCTTGCATTTGATATAGCGCTTTTCACGTCTTCTAGACGTCTCAAAGCGCCTCACAGAATATACTGTAAAGTGAATTGACTGTATATTTGTGGGCGAACGCGGCAGCCAATTGCGCACAGCAATGTCCCACAAACAGCTGTAGATTGAAAATGACCAATTTATTATTGTTTTGTTTTGGAGGGATTATTATTAGGCGTGTGGAGTAAGGAAACTTGCCCAAGGTTTCGCCCTTGAAGGGTTACTAGGAGTTGATTGGGAAGACTCCAAGTCCCTCCAAATCTTGCAGATGAATCAGGCTACCTAGTTTCTTATTCCAGCACGATTGTCTCATGCATGCCATACTATACACCTCAATACCACGGTACTCCCGACAAAGAAAAGTACCAATATATTGCAAGAATAAGAGGGAATCCAATACATTAGATCTGGCAACATTGGGTGGAAGGTAGAGGTGGTTCTGACTGTATATTGCAGCAACACACATATCAACAGAATATGATTGATTGTCTTCATAAAGAAGCAATGTACATTCTCAAACCTCTTGAGGAACTGCATGCCTCGCAACATATAGCTAAAGTAACAAAGGTAGACAACTTGGGAGGTAAAGGTATTAAAATATATAGAAAAAAGGTGGGGAAATGGGATTAGGAACATTGCCACAATCTAACAACATGTTGGGACAGATTCGACGGGCTGCCAAGGCTCCTCCTGGTCCTATATTCCTAAAGCAGGAACTGCAGGGACTAGAGGATAACATGCAGAAGTTAGAAAGCAATAATTATAAGTTGTAAGATTAACACTTAGCTAAGGTTAGTCAGGGCAGATTATGAGGAGCATAAATACATTGCTGTGCTTAGAATGTAGTAACTGCAAGTTTTATTGAGTGTAAATAACAACAACAACAAAATTACATTTGTATAGTGCCTTTCACGTCGGGAGGATGTCCTAAGGTGCTGGACAGACAGTTACGGACCCGAGCTGGCGGTCAGGGTGGGGGAGGATGGAGGGCAGGGAGGGAAGCAGAGAGATCGAAAGCAAGGTCAGAGAGGAGGATCTTGAGGTGGGTCTTGAAGGTGGCGAGACGGAGGGACTGTGGAATGGAGTTACAGAGGGTGAGGACAGAGTGGCAGAAGGCCTGCCCACCAATAGTGGGGCGAGCAAGGCGGGGACATGAAGCAGAGGGAGCGAATAGGATGGTAGGGAGTTAGTAGGTCGCAGAGATAGGAGGGAGCAAGACCATGGAGAGCTTTGAAAGTAGGTACCAGGATCCTGAAATGTATCCTCTGTGTGAATGGAAGCCAGTGCAGTTGGGCAAGGATGGGGGTGATAGGGTCACGGAGTCTAGTACGGGAGAGGACATGGGCTGCAGGGTTCTGGATGATTTGCAGCCTGTGGAGGGAAGAGTTGGGGAGGCTAACAAGCAATGAGTTTGCATAGTCGAGCCTCGATGTAATGAAGGCGTGTTTAAGGGTTTCAGTGGGCTGGAGTATGAGACAGTGACGGAGCCGGGCGACGTTGCGGAGGTGGGGAAGGCAGAGCGGGTCATAGCGCAGATGTGGGGTAGAAAGGATAGTTGAGGGTCAACCAAGATCCCAAGCTTCCGGACGAGCTTAGCAAGATGGAGTGTGCAACCATGGATGGTGATGCTGTCAGCACCTGAGGTGAGGAGGCACAGCAAACAGGCACACAAACAATAAAGAGGATAACAGGCCACCTAATGTGGACAGCAGTAAATGAAGAGTACTTAACGGACAACATGTAACCAACAATCAATGTAGCAAATAATAACTACAGGTTATATATAGGATAAGCCATGACTAACATGATCCAGGGAAGAGGATAAGAGACAGCTAATAATATACAACAGACATTCACTATTTAGATGATAATCCAAGACTAAGGTTAAAACCAATAACTGCAGGAAAATAAATGGTGAAATTGATAAGAAGCACAACTCAAGCACTTTAGAGACCATCACAAAAATATGTCACCATCTTGGGAGTGTAACTACTTTTGAATAAGGGCAGCATAGTTGAGCAAATCCACATAAGGTGCATTATCAACCTGGAATGAGACTGTACCACACAACTCAAGACCTACAGTGTGAGGGACTTCAGTTACATAAGACAGTGGAGGAAAGAACACAGCCTGCATACATTATGATGCATTTCATGGTAATACTTAACCAAGAGAACAAGAGAAGAGTTTGAGCATGAGTGAGTGAAGAGTGAGTGAGCATGAATGACGGAGTGCACTTACTGTATGGAACGCATTCATACTGAACTTCCAGATACTTGTAGGTTCCTGGGCAGGGATCTGGAAAGGCATCTGGTCCGGCCACAACTGCACACTGGGTGCGATTATTGCACCTGGAAGAGAAAAAATAATTCATTCTAAATGAATTGTTCAAATTTGGAATGCATTGCCTGAAAGGGTGGCGGAAGCCAATCGATAACAACTTTCAAGAGAGAAGCACATCATTATTTGGGGAGGACAAATTTGCAGGGCTATGGGGAGAGAGTGGGAGAATGGGATTGCCTGCTCTTTTCAAAGAACAGGCACAGACACAATGGGCCGAATGGCCTCCTCCTGTGCTATATAATTCTATTATTCTATGATTTTATAAACATGACTGTTGGACTGTAAAGCACTCTGAGATGCCGTCCGGCATGGAGGGCGCTATATAAATCCAAGTTGTTGTTGTTGTTGCATTGTTGGCTCTCTGCTACTGAATAGCTGAATTGATTAATTGAAATCAGGCAAACAAGACACCAGAGAACCACTGACAAACTGCATCTGTCACACACATGCTATTGTGTAGGTTATTCACTTGAAGTAAGCGGACACAGCATTTTAAAGATGTGCTGAATGAAGGATGATCAGCAGCACATTCCAAATGCACTGTGTGGGCTCCAAATCTTATATTTGCAATCTAAGGTGTGTCCCTTTTTTTTGATATTAGCACTCACAATATTAAGAAAATAGTTTGAATTATATTAATAATTATATTAATAATCCTTGCATTTGATATCACATTATCTAGAGGTCTCAAAGCGCTTCACAGAATATACTGTAAAGTGAATTGACTGTATGTTTTGTGGGCAAAACAGCGGACAATTGCACACAGAAGTACAAACTGTATTTTGAATCAGTTTTCTCAATTCCTCTCTTGAAGGCATGAACTCACAGCACAGAATGATATTGACCCTCTGGTACTAACTCAATTTAGCCAGTCATAAACTGTAGCACCAAAACAGGGCATTTGGCTCAATGAGTCCATGCTAGACTGGAACTCATCTGTGAACGTGCAGAGTGAGTATGTGCAGGGCCAGAACATGCAGGAAGAATAATAGCTGAACATGTTCTTACCAGAAGCAAGACCGTTCTTAAGACAACAACAACAAATTGCATTGAAATAGATTCTCTTCAATTTCAGGGTGGTCCAACAATTTTAAAATGCACTGCAGAAAACCAGCATCCAGGATAAGGCTAAATTTACATATTTTCAAAACGTTTCACAATGTTATATTTTAAGACTATAATCTTAAGACTAAGACTGCTATTTCAGGTCTCAGCCCACAAATACACAGACAATCCACTTTACAATTATGAATTACGTATTATGAATTAAAATGTATTATTTATTCTGTTAAGCGCTTTGAGGTGTCTCAATGACGTGATAAGGGGCCATATCAAATGCAAGGATTATTATTATTATTAGCCTTGAAAGCACACTTTTCCAGGAAGAGTTAATAGACTGGATCAGGAACAAGAAGCCTGGTTACTTTTGCTTTTCTGTCCAACCCAGAGTACTGTACCCAGAAGATAACTGTAGTTCACCTAACGTAATTCTTACTCAGCACAGATTAGGAATTAAACCTGGGGACTTCCTAGTTTTGAGTGTAGCTTTCTAAACACTCACACACCACATTGTCAATGTATGTATGTTTTTCAATGCTTTCACCCACAAATGTACAGTCAATTCACTTTACAGTATATTCTGTGAAGCGCTTTGAGACGTCTAGAAGATGTGAAAAACACTATATCAAATGTAAGGATTATTATTATTATTATTATTATTATCTTATCAAGTCCGGTTTGGATATAAAGACAGATGATATCAGATGCAAAGAAGCATTTTGGAGAACTTTCTAACTCAAAATACTGCTTGGTTGGAAATTGCACACATTAAGAGAGTTTCTGCTACAGGTGGGTTTGAAGTCAGTGCTGCATAGATAGGGTTAAATGTGCCCACACTTAGCATTTGTGCTCACAACCAAGAAATAATTGGGCTTTTTTGCACGCGCCTCATCGTGCTCAAATGTCTCAAAGTATTTTCTAGTAATTACTAAAATGTAGTGACTGCTTTTGTAGGCAAACACATGCACATCAGTGACGCAGTTATAAACTCTGCACAAACCCTAAAATACTTTCATTACCCCCTCCCCCCAACACACACAAACAGCACATTTTCAATGTATGTACGTTTTTTTGTTCGGTTGCTTTCCTTAAAAGGAAGAGACAGCATTACACCTAGGGATCTTTATTTCACAGCCAGTCGAGAAACGATTATAATTGGACATGGGATTTCAGAGGCCAAAAGTGCAGAGGTCACATGATTGAGATGGTACAAAGAAACAGCTAACAGGCACATGCATTTTATTACATATTAAAAACACAGAGAGCAAGCAGTAAAGAATTCTGCACACCATGTATACAAGCAGAGAGCGTCATTGCCACTGGGATTTTAAATACATACTGCTCTCACTCGGACTTTCAGAGGAAAACAGAGGGCAAAGTAGACTTTTTGCCTCCAAGTCTAGAAATGCTTTTGTATAATAGCTATTCATGCTCCAGCTGTACAGTGCTCTGCACCTGGACACCTTGATACAAGGCTCAGAACCTTGAAGCAAAATGAAGAGCAACAAGGATGATCCCTAGTGTTACAGGGATCAGCCATGAGGAGCATTAGATAAGATAGAGCATTTCAACTTTGAAAATAAATGTCTCAGATAGAAGAGGTCTAGGAGATGCTAAGTAGAATTGAGCAAATAAATACATGTTACTTTCTGATACATCAAGGAATTAGAACTGGAGGGCACAGGTTCAATTTGTGAAGAACAATTATGGGACAGCCACCAGGAAGTATTTCTTCATACAGAGTGGCAATTACAGCTGGAGTGGCAGTAGAGTTCATTGAACAAGCATCTTGACGTTGCAATGGAAAGATGGAAAAGTGGGAATTCTGGGAGATTAAATGGGTCTCAAATCCTACTCCATCCATAACTCTCTTGTGATTGTGTGTTTTCCAGAAATTTTCATTTGTTGCACAATGACATCAGCTTTCCAGGGAGACAACATACCAGCAGTCTGGTATTGCAATGAATTCTCTAAATGCTACGACATTGCTATCAACAGGACAACTATCAGATTCCCCTTAACAGTTGACTCAACATTGTCATTTCAGGATTCATTTTCAAACTAGCTCAGTTCCTGGTTACAGTTAGGACAGTGTGACATGCAATGTCACTATTACAAAACTCTGGACAACCCTTACATTTCAAGGACCATTTCAGCATTGAATCAGCATTTGGCTTCCCAGCCTTTTCCAGGATTCAGGCAAAATTCAGTAAGAAACTGCTCTACTTGCACCAATACACACTTCAACATGCATGGAATGCTGAAACAGCAAGATTGATGATGGTGCTGTTTGAGTCATCTTAATCAATGGTTTAAAATTCAGTCCAAGTTGCCATATTATCTGTTCATGGCAGGAGGGAAAGACTGGAGTAAGCGATACCCAGCTTGATAGATACTTGATTTACTGACGCTCCATTTGTTTCACCCCAAAAGTATATTTACCAAAACAGCATGCCAGAAAATAATTCTGATGCAGCGAGTTCTTTATAACTGCTTTAGCCAATTAACCTAAATGGGCAAGCTTTCTCTCAGTGGGGCAGAGCCCACAGCTGAAACAAGAATATTCCTGCATAAGGCCGTTATGTAATGGTGTTCCTTGCCCTTTCCATTGAGCATAATAAGAACCTAGCCAGAATTAACAGCATCAAAGACATGTCTGATTTCTAACCCCAGTGGCTGCTGATTTTTCATTGCCATACAACAACAAACTAAATTTGTATATTTGTATATAGTTGGATTTGCTATTTACAAATCTTTTTGCAAATCTTCAAATCAAACCCTATTGTTTGAAGTGCTTTAAGATCTCCAAATCGCACACCACAGGTGAGTATACAGTAATGCCTCAGTGGCAGCAAGCTTTTTCTGGATTTTATGGCTCCAGGTCAATTCCTAAATCACTTTCAATCAGCAGTCTCCATTAAAGAAAATTACATTTGTAGCACCCCTGCTCTCCTCCATTCGCCCCCCTATATGAGTATTCATACAGAAAAAAATCCTTGCATTTGATATAGAGTCTTACTCTAACCCTGAAAAATAAAAGAAATTGAAAATTAGGGTTTAGGGTTATCGAAATGTCTCAAAATGCTTCACAGGATTTACTGTAAAGTATAATGCCTGTACAATTGTTGGTGAACACGGTAGCCAATTTGCATACAGTAGTGTCCCACAGACAGCCATGAAGTGAATGACAAATTTTATTTGGGTGATTTTTGATCAGGACACCGGGGGAAACTCTCTTCTATTTTTGAAAGGTGCCATGGGATTTTCTTTGACAATGCAGGGCTGCTAACATTGCATTAGATTGTCAGCCTATTATACTTGTGTAACAATGTCCTTTCACAATAAACGTAACCTAATTTTGAAGCAAATCACACTCCCACCCACACTCCCAGAGTTGTTTCTCCCCTTTTAAAAATACTCCAGCTTTGTTTTAATTGTGAATAAACAACTCCCGACGTGAAAGGCGCTATACAAATGTAATTTGTATCATATTGTATGGGCGGATAAAATGGTCGAGATTACTGTGCTTACAGAGCGAGAGAGCTGAACAAGCTTCTAAATGCCTCAATATTGATTTCAATAATATAGACCAAACAGCTCACCTTCCCCCTCTTCTGTGACCATTTGACTTCTTCTCAAACCCCTTGGGTTGGTAACTACAGCTTCCATAATTAATTTTCCTGAAGCATTTGTTCACGGTCACCTTTTGTAGCCATGATCCCTCCCTTGTTGTCAGTATTCAGGGGTCCAAATAAATGGACCCATATCCAAATCTGGACATGGGTCCAGAAAAAAAATCCAAGTCAAATTATGTTAAACATATTCCTTATACCCCATTCATCTTTTTAAAAAAGAAATTGGTCCTAATGACAAGAATGCCTCTTTAATGACACAATATCATATTAACTCTATTCGACAATAGATGGTGATATGCTAAAACCAATGGTAA